CTGGCACTATAGCACTTTAGACGGACGTGAGTCTCTAGTTCAACCCCAGATTTACACGGTGAACTACCAGTAATCTACTGATGTCACCACGTTTGTCACCTCTGTTGTTACTGATATCCTTCTCCGCCAATGTTACACAAATGCGCTTTATGATCTCCAGCACAATGGAAGGAGTAGGAAGTAATGGGGGGGGGGGACCTGCAGGGTCCCGAGATATACAACAATGTCTGTTATTATGCATCAACAACTGATACGGCAAGTGAGGAGTATGGAGGAAATCCCCCCGGGGTGGGTGATTCTGCGAGTGGGGGGACTGCTATAGGGGTGGTGACAGGTAGAGGGAGATACGGGAAAGGGAGAATAAATCACGTAATTTGACCCAAAACTTATAACAATAATCTGGCAAACTCAAAACGTATTAAGTATTCGAGACAAAAACAAATTCGGCCCAAAATTCACAATAGAACATTAGCAATCCCAAAGATTATTCATACCACAACTATACAAATGATTCGGCCTGAAAATAATAGGAATTTATTGGCAACTCCAAAAAACCCTCCCAGCAAGGTACAGCTGAGATGTCAGGATGGTGGCCCCTCTGGGTTAAGGATGGTGCTGTTCAATGCCAGGTCGGTAAATGGAAAAACCTCCATCATTCGAGAACTAATCCAGGAGGAACAAGCTGACCTGGCATGCATAACAGAGACCTGGCTGGACGAGGGGGGAGGGGTGAATCTCTCCCAACTATGCCTGCCAGGTTATTCTGTGCAGCACCAGCCAAGACCCGGAGGGTAGAGAGGAGGAGTGGCAGTGGTCTATAAGGTTTGTATCCCCCTGATCAGGTGCCCCATCCCACAATCATCGTTATTCGAGTGTGCCAGCTTCAGGTTAGGTGACCGGGACAGGATAGGGATTCTGTTAGTGTACCGACCACCCCGCTGCACGACAGTCTCCCTACCTGAGCTAGCAGGAGTGGTCTCGGACATGCCGTTGAGCTCCCAGCGGCTCCTAGTCCTGGGGGATTTCAATGTCCATGCTGAGACCTCTCTTTCAGGAGCAGCTCAGGACTTTATGGCCGCCATGACAACCATGGGCCTGTCTCAACTAGTATCTGGTCCCACCCACACTACCGGACACACACTGGATTTGGTCTTCTCTCAGGGATGGGGTGATAGTGTCAGGGCGGAGGAGCTGACCATCACTCCATTGTCATGGTCCGATCACTACCTGATTAGGTTTAGACTTGCTGTACCTCCTAACCTCCGCAGGGATGGTGGACCCATTAGAATGGTCCGCCCCAGGAGACTTATGGATCCAAATGGTTTCCTGACGGCTCTTGGGGATTTTCCCACCTCCTTGACTGGTGACCCTGTCGATGCTTTGGTCTCTCACTGGAACATTGAGATGACTAGGGCAATCGACACAATCGCTCCAGAACGCCCCCTCTCGAGTAACCGAGCTAACCCGGCCTCTTGGTTTACTGAGGAGCTGGCAGCAATGAAGTGAAAGAAGAGGTGGCTAGAGCGTGTGTGGCGTAGGAATCCGACTAAATCAGCCCAAACACATCTGAATGCCTTCTTAAGGTCCTACGATGTGGCAATAGCAGCAGCACAAAAAACATCCTTTTGCTGCCAATATTGCATCTGCGAAGAATCGTCCAGCTGAGCTCTTCCGAGTTGTCAGGGGTCTGTTAAATCCGCCGAAAAGCGAGATCCCTGACAGCTCTGGAGCTCGCTGTGAAGCGTTTGCTCGATTCTTCACAGATAAAATTGTGCGGATTCGGTCGGTTTTTGACACCACTTTACCTGCAGTCTCTGAGAATGTAACGAGAGCATCTGCTTGTCAGGTTTTATTGGATTCATTTCAATTGGTTCAGCTTGAGGATGTGGACAGGATCCTTGGAGAGGTGCGACCCACCACATGCATCCTAGACCCCTGTCCATCCTGGCTGATAAAAGAAGCCAGAGGGGGTTTGGCAGAGTGGGTGAAGGTGGTGGTTAATGCCTCCTTACAGGAGGGCAAGATTCCAGCGAGCTTAAAACAAGCTATTATCAAACCGCTGTTGAAAAAACCATCACTGGACCCCACTCAATTAGACAACTATCGGCCAGTTTCCAATCTCCCCTATTTGGGCAAAGTCCTGGAACGTGTGGTGGCAGCACAACTCCAGGGATTTCTGGTAGACACTGATTATCTTGATCCGGCACAGTCTGGCTTTAGACCGGGACATGGAACGGAAACAGCCTTGGTCGCCTTGGTAGATGATCTTCGCAGGGAACTGGACAGGGGGAGTGTGTCCCTGTTAGTTCTGCTGGACCTCTCAGCGGCCTTCGATACCGTCGATCACGGTATCCTTCTGGGACGCCTCATAGACATGGGTCTTGGGGGTACTGCTTTGCAGTGGCTCCAGTCATTTCTTGGGGGACGGTCCCAGAAGGTGTTACTGGGTGACACCTGTTCGGCCCCACAACCGTTGTTGTGTGGAGTCCCACAGGTTTCGATCTTGTCCCTAATGTTGTTTAACATCTACATGAAGCCGCTGGGGGAGATCATTCGGAGTTTCGGACTGAGATGTTATCTCTACACAGATGATGTCCAGATCTGTCACTCCTTCTCACCTGTCACCAAGGAGGCTGTCCAGACCTTGAATCGGTGTTTAGCTGCTGTGTCGGACTGGATGAGAGCTAACAAATTGAAACTGAATCCAGACAAGACAGAGGTCCTACTGGTCAGTCGCAAGGCCGAACAGGGTATAGGGTTACAGCCTGTGCTGGACGGGGTTACACTCCCCCTGAAGACACAGGTTCGCAGCTTGGGAGTGATCCTAGACTCACCGCTAAGCCTGGAACCCCAGGTCTCGGCGGTGGCCGGGAGAGCTTTTGCGCAATTAAAATTTGTGCACCAGTTGCGCCCATACCTTGGGAAGTCTGATCTGGCCACGGTGGTCCACGCTCTTGTTACATCCCGAATAGACTACTGCAACGCGCTCTACGTGGGGTTGCCCTTGAAGACTGTTCGGAAACTTCAACTAGTCCAGCGAGCGGCAGCCAGACTGCTCACCGGAGCGACATACAGGGAGCATACCACCCCCCTGTTGTGCCAGCTCCACTGGCTGCTGGTTCAGTTCCGACCACAATTCAATTCAAGGTGCTGGTTTTGACCTACAAAACCCTGTACGGTTCTGGTCTGAACCGTACAGGGTATCTCCCTCTACATCCCACCCCGGAGTCTGAGATCATCTGGGGAGGCCCTGCTCTCGACCCCACCACTGTCACAAGTGAGGCTGGTGGGGACGAGGAGCAGGGCTTTCTCAGTGGTGGCCCCTCACCTGTGGAACTCACTCCCGGGGGAAATCAGGGCATCATCATCCCTCCTCTCCTTCAGGAGGAGGGTGAAGATGTGGTTATGGGACCAGGCCTTTGGGCAATCTGGCAATTAAATAAGACAATCAGGCGAGTAAGACCAACAAGACTGTTGAAGTGGAACTGAAAACTAGAACTATGAGTTAGCGAACGCTGACCATGCAAGAGGAGGAACTGGGTTTGTATTGGTTTTATTGATTTTATTGGTATAATGAATGAACTGTTGTTGAATTGATGTAATTCTGTGTTCTGATTGTTCTGTACTGCAGGCATCAAATAGTGCCTTTGCTCCTGTAAGCCGCCCTGAGTCCCCTTCGGGGTGAGAAGGGCAGGGTAAAAGAACCCCTAATAAATAAATAAATAAATTTTATCACCACAAAACTTTTCAGTGGATTTTGGTACCACTTAGCATGGTATCTTTTGGACATCATTAAGCTACAGGAAAGAGATTCCACTTAAACATTAGTAAAAGCTTCCTGAGTGTAAGGGCTGCCCAACTGTGGAATACTCTGCTTTAGAGTGCGGTAGCATTTCCTCTGGAGGTTTTTAAGCAGGGGCTGAGTGGCCACCTGTTGTGAGTGCTTTGATTGTGAATTTCTGTATGATCTAGATCAGGCATGGGCAAACTTCAGCCTTACAAGTGTTTTGAACTTCAATTCCCAGAAATCCCAGCCAGCTGTTAGAAACTGTGGGAGTTGAAGAAGTCCAAAACAACTGGAGGGCTGAAGTTTGCCCATGCCTGATCTAGATCATGGTCTCTTCCAACTCTATGATTCTATGACAAATAGATGGTTAAGGCTAGAAATGTCAAAGCCTGGGGGAAAATAAGCAGGAAATAAATCCTTTCACCCATGTTTCACCCATGTTTTCCTGATCGTGTTAAAAAACAGAGTGTGGATCATCGATGTTGCAATCCCAGGCGACAGAGAAACAACTGGAAAAGCTGACACGATAAGAGGATTTAAAGTTCAAACTGCAAAGACTCTGGCACAAGTCAGTCAAGGTGGTCCCAGTGGTGATTGACACACTGGGTGCAGTGCCTAAAGACCTTGGCCTGCACTTAAACACTATCGGCGCTGACAAAATTACCATCTGCCAGCTGCAAAAGGCCACCTTACTGAGATCTGCACGCATTATTCGCCGATACATCACACAGTCCTAGACACTTGGGAAGTGTCTGACGTGTGATCCAATACAACAGCCAGCAGAGTGATCTTGTTTGCTGTGGACTCATCTTGTTGTGTTTCAAATAATAATCAAACTTTATTTGTACCCTGCCACCATCTCCCCGAAGGAATAGTGTTTATTTTGCTTTGAATGCGGCAGCACGGAAATAATATAATAGTGTTTAAAGCTGAGTGATGGTTTTACATTCAATGTTTTTTATCAGTAGTGGCCATGGAGAGGAGGAGCTTCCATGAGGGGCTGAGGGGGGAAAAGAAGGGGCCTGAGGCTGTTAGGAAGGGTGTGAGTTGAATTCCAAACACCTGAGGTTTGCCCAGGCCTGGGGTAGCTGTTCCCCAAAGTCGTAGCGAAGCGCAGCGTGATGTCGCCTGAACCCTTCTCTACCCTTTGCATCCTTCATCTGTCCTTCCCTAACGCGCGCGCGCTTTGCTGGGCGAGCGGGCGGGAGTCTTCTTCTTGGTTCGCCTCTTTCCGAGAGCGGAGTGGAAGGCAAGCAAGCGAGGCGGGCGGTGGCTTGGCGCTCTGTGTGTCCGGCTTGTGGGCGTGTTCGGAGGCTGGGAGAGCGAGCGGGCGGGGATCCTCCGCTGCCGCCTCCTGCTTCTTCCCGTGCCTTCAAGTCTCCCTCCCTCCCTCCCTCTCTCTCCGGGGCCATGCATCTCCTCCTGGAGGTGGAGGCGCGGCGATGACGAGGCGGCGGCGGTGGCAGCCCCCTCGAAGGCGGCGAGGGCGGTGGGCGCTGGGCTTGGCGCTGTACACGCTCCTGGTGCTGCTCCTGGCCTCCTTCGTGGGCAGGGGCGGGAAGGGGGAGGAAGAGGATGAGCGGGGAGGGTTGCCGCGCGTGTCCCGGGGCTGCCCGAGCCCGGAGGCGGCACTGGGCGAGTGGGGTTGGGGCCAAGACGAGGAGGAGGCGGCGGCGAGCAACGGGACGGGGAACGGGAGCCTGGCGCTGGAGCCGGCCCTCCGCCAACGCCAGCTGTACCTGCACGCGACGTGGCGGACGGGCTCGTCCTTCGTGGGCGAGCTCTTCAACCAGCACCCGGGCGTCTTCTATTTGTACGAGCCCATGTGGCACCTCTGGCAGGCGCTGTACCCGGGGGACGCGCGGAGCCTCCAGGGAGCCCTACGGGACATGCTCCGCGCCCTCTTCCGCTGCGACTTCTCCGTCCTGCGCCTCTACGCGCCGCCCTCCTCCTCCTCGGCCTCGACGGCGCACAACCTGAGCACGGCGTCGCTCTTCGGCTGGCGCACCAACAAGGCCATCTGCTCTCCACCGCTCTGCCCCGGGGCGGCGGCTCCACGCGCGTCGGTGGGGCTGGTGGACGGCGCGGCCTGCGAGCGGCTCTGCCCTCCTCGGGGCCTGCGGGAGCTGGAGGCCGAGTGCCGCAAGGCGCCGCTGGTGGTGGTGAAGGACGTGCGCCTCCTGGACCTCTCCGCCTTGGCCCCGCTTCTCCGCGACCCGGGACTCGACCTGCGCGTGGTCCAGCTCTTCCGCGACCCGCGCGCCGTCCACAACTCCCGCCTCCGCGCCAAGCGCGCCCTCCTCCGGGAGAGCCTCCAAGTCCTGCGCAGCCGCGGCGGGATCGGCCTCGACAGGCCCCCCGCCCGGCAGCCCCCGCCGCGCGCCGAGTCGCTCCTCAGCGGGGCGCTGGAGGTCATCTGCCAGGGCTGGCTGCGCGACCTCCGCCTCCAGCGCGCCGCCCCGCCGCCCCTCCGCGCCCGCCTGGCCCGCCTGCGCTACGAGGACCTGGTGCGCGACCCCCGCGGGCAGCTCCGCCGCCTCCTCCGCTTCGCCGGACTGCCCTCGCCGCCCGCCCTCGAGGACTTCGCCCTCGACATGACCCGGCGGCCCTCCGGGGACGCCCCCCAAGCCCCGCCCGCGCCCTTTCTGGTCTCCGCGCGCGACGCCCGCCACGCCCTCCGCGCCTGGAAGGAGCGCCTCAGCCAAGCCCAGGTCCGGCAGGTCGAGCGCGCCTGCGCACCCGCCATGCGGCTCCTCGGCTACCCGCTCAGCCAGCAAGAGGAGACAGGTAGGTAGGTAGGTAGGAAGGAGACCGCTCGGGGGCAGGCTTGGGCCCTCCCTCCCTCTCCCTCCCTCTCTCCCTCTCTCCCTCTCTCTTTTCCCCCTCAGCCGCTTAAGCGGCTGAGGGGGAAAACATGTAGTGTGATCTCTCGCTTTTCCTACTGCCTTCCACTTTATTAAGTACTAGCTTGGGGACCCGGCGCTGCCCGGATTATTAGAGAAAGTGGGTAATGGCGGTTCTGTATGCCAAGTTTGGTCTTTATTGGTCATTGGATAATGGCTGCATTGTTTTCAGGAAGTGAGTGAAGGTACTTGAAGTCCCATCATCCATGGTCCACCCTCCTCCAAACAGCATCAGGATATAGAATGGGTCATGAGGGCTCTGAGTGCTAAGTTTGGTCTTGATTGGTCATTAGATGAGGGTTGCAGCAGTCTTGGGAAGGGAGTGGAGGTACCTAAAGTCCAATCATCCATGGTCTGTCCTCCTTAAAAGTGCACCAGGATGTAGAGTGGGTCATGGGGACTCTGTGTGCCAAGTTTGGTCTTGATCAGTCATTGGCGAGGGTCTCAGTGGTCTCAGGAAGTGAGTGAAGTGACTGCAAGTCCCATCATCCATTTTCAAATTCTTCCAAATCGCACCAGGATGTAGAGTGGGTCATGCGGGCTCTCTGTGTAAATTGTGGTCCTGATCCATCATTGTTGGCAGTTGTAATGGTCTTAGGAAGGGAGTGCAGGTATTGCAAGTCCCATCGTCCATGGTGCATCCTCCTCCAAACTGCACCAGGATGTAGAGTGCATCATGGAGACTCAGTGTGCCAAGTTTGGTCTTTATTGGTAATTGGATGAGGGTTGCAGTGGTCTCAAGAATTGAGCAAAGGTACTGCAAATCCCATAATCCATGGTCCATCCCTGGCCAAACCACACCAGGACATAAAGTGGATCATGAGAGGTCTATTTGCCAAGTTTGGTCCTGATCGGTCTTTGGATGAGGTTAACAGCGGTCTCAGAATGTGAGTGATGGTACTGCAAGTCCCATCATCCATGGTTCATCCTCCTCCAAACTGCAGTAGGATGTAGAGTGGGTCATGGGGGCTCTGTGTGCCAAGTTTGGTCTGTATTGATAATTGTCTGACTCACCCCCCTCTGGCCTTTTCCTTTCCTCTCTTTGTCATCTCGGAATCTTGGAATTGAGGCTGCAAATTTCCTTCTCTCATGTCTCCGTTTCTGTCATGAACCCTTTTCTCCACCAGGGGCTCCTGTAAAGCTGGCCAATCAGAGACCATATGCAAATAGCACCACTGCGGCAGCCAGTCAGAATGTTGGAACTTTCAGGGTGGCCAATCAGAATGCTGGCACATACACCGCCACACCGCCACACTTTTGTCCTCCACATACAAGTTTTGACTTTTATTATATACATAGATTTCCGGTGTTTCTACCCCTTCTCTTCTCTACCCTCGAAGGGGGACTCAGGACGGCTTACATTTCGCTACGATTTGATGCCGCTACATATAAACCATTACAATAATACACCAACAATTAAAATACAAAAAGCATTAATTAAACAATAAAACAATATCATCAGTTGTATTGCCATTCCAGTCTTTTTCCAACTAAAGTTCTAATTATGTCTGCTGTCCAAAAGCCTGGTCCCAGAACCAAAATTTCAATTCCTTCCTGAAAGCCAGGAGGGATGAAGCCAATCTTATCTCATTTGGAAGCGCGTTCCACAGGAGCCAAGAAGGCTCTGTCTCTCGTCCCCACCAGACATATTTGTGATGCTGGCAGGAGCAAGAGCAGGGTCTCCCCAGATGATCTTAAACTGCAAGGCGGGACGTAGTGGGAGATGCGTTCGGACAAGTAAGCTGGGGCAGAACCGTATAGAGCTTTATAGGTTAAAACCAGCACTTTGAATTGAGTTCGGAAGTGGATTAGCAGCCAGTGGAGCTGACACAACAAGGAGGTGGTGTGCTCCCTGTATGTCGCTCCAGTTAGTAATCTGGCTGCAGCCCGTTGGATTACTTGGAGTTTTCGAACAGTCTTCAAAGGCAGCCCCACGTAGAGTGCATTGCAGTGATCTATTTGGGATGTAACAAGAGCGTGGACCACTGTTGCCAGATCAGACTTCCCAAGGTATGGGCGCAGCTGGTGCACAAGCTTTAACTGTACAAAAGCTTCCCTGGCTACCACCGAATCCTGGGGTTCCAGGCTCAGTGGTTAATCCAGGAGGATTCCCAAGCTGCGAGTGATCTCTTCCCTTGTTCTTTGGACAGAGCCCACTGCATGCCAGGAGCCCACTAGCTAGGTCCAAATGCACATGGAGTTACTGGATTATGATACAGCAGGCATGGGCAAACTCTAGCCCTCCAGGTGTTTTGGACTCCAACTCCCACAATTCCCAACTGCTGGTAGGCTGTTAGGAATTGTGGGAGTTAAAGTCCAAAACACTTGGAGGGCCAAAGTTTGCCCATGCCTGTGATATCAGGCTAACAACAAAGAGCCTTCCCCTTGTGCTTGGATGAATGTTTATTGTAAAACTTTGTGTGTGTGTGTGTCTCTGTGTGTATGCATGCATATATGAGAAATACAGCCTTAAACAGTTTAATTTTTTGTATAACTATACAATGTGATACATCAGGATTTGGGGGCTCTTTGTTTGTGGGTTGTGTGGCTAAGTGGGGAAGAGAAAGCATTGGATGACATGATAAACTAACCTTTGTTTCATTGGAGTCAAGTTAGTCCACTAGTTATTCGTTATGTATATCATTGCTTACTGTATTATATGTGTGTATTAGTTTGCATTTTGAACTTAACTCTTTGTTGTGGGAGAGGCTGCAGACTATGTGATCAGGTCTGGGGTTGTTCAGGACTTAGGCTCCATTTTAGAAACAGTGCAGTTTAGACCTTGGTAGAAACAGATGTATGCTTTCAGACTTCAGCAGAAGCAGTTTGCTTTGGACTTCAGTAGGAACTGTATGCCTTAGAAGACAGAGACTCTATTAGACTCTCATAACAGAGAGATGCCCTAGATTATGGACTGTTGATTATGAGAAAGATCCCCTGTGTTACCTACACAGAGAAACTACTTCAAAACTACTTGTAACTGGATTGATATGCAAAGTACCTGTATGCTGAATACATGAACTTTGTGAGTACATCAACTATGTTACTTTTAAAGGCAAATATATTTTAAGGGAGAGTAGATGCTTTTGGGCAACTAAAAAGAATACTTCTGAAACTCTGCTTATGAATGCTGGGGAATGACTTTTTCCCAATAAGTTATGACTCTAATAGGTCATGCGTTTTACCGAGAGGTTATGGCATCATTTTTCAAAAGATTGTGACTTCTAACAAGGTCATCCCTTTCCAAAGCTCATAAAATTGAAGATTTCCATTTTTCAAAAAATTAGTGTGCATGACAGAACAAACCAGGGTTCTCAAAATTCCTTGGTTTATTATAAGAACTGGACCATTGCAGCAAGAATCTTTGGATAGATCTACACTGTAAATCTACTGCAGTTTGATACTACTTCAACTGTCAAGGGTCAATGCTATTAAATCCTGGGAATTGTAGTTTTGCAAGGTCTTTATCCTTCTCTTCTAAAGAGTGCTGGTGCCTCATCACACTACACATCTGCAGTTTGATACTACTTTCACTGTCAAGGCTCAATGCCATTCAATCCTGGGAATTGTAGTTCCTGAATAAGTTGTAAAGACTTCAGAAAGATGAACATTTGAGAGTTTAGCAGATCTTGTTGATTATATTAAAATCAATTATGGTAATTAGCTTATTTTCTTAGAGGAGGGATTGATTGTCCATGCAGATGTTCTGTGGGGAAGTTTTCTTCCCTAACTTCCTTCCTTAGGAACTGATTTGCATCCTATTGTTACAACGTCCTCTTCATATTTGAAATCTGACCAGAATACAAACAAAACCCAATCAAATGTTTAATTGCTCCAGACCAATTTTGAATTGCTGAAGCTTTTGTAATGGATGTTTATACATCTTAGTAACCCTCAGGGGGGTATTTGAGGTTACAGTCCCAGTTGTATAGATGATACAGAAGCCAGAGCATGAACTTCAAATCAGGGATTATCTGGGATCAGGAATGAGCCCATACTCTAAAACTGCTGGGGCGAAAGACAGTTGCAAATGGTGATCACCTCACCACTATAGAAAGGAGTTTTGGAATCTAACAATAATGTTTGATTATTTTATACTGCACCACATTCATATGCTGTTACAGAATAATACAATGCAATAATACTTGAGAGTGAGCCACGTTTCAGAAGAGCTGTTTTTATTAAATATGCAAAAGGGGTCAGATTGTGCATGGTCTTGATTAAAGGGGTTTTGATCCATAGTTGATGTGTTCAAGGAAGGATTGCTGCAGAGACTGCAATATTTATCGTACATATCTATGCATGTCTATTCAGAAGTGAACCTCAGGCAATACTACTATACCAATGACCTCAGTTAATGAAACAGATGTGTTCCTGGTTATTACTTTAAGTACAGGACATTTGGTAACAGAAATAGAATGGAAAGAACAGGAATTGGTTTCTATACTACAAAACAAGAACACCTCAACACGTTTCAGCAGCTTTTTCAAAATCCAAAACTAACAACATACATATGTGAATTGAAACCACCAAATCAGGAAACTATACAAAAGTAAACAAAAATATTTTGAATCTTCAGGGAATTATTTAGCCTTCTTCCAAAATGCATCCAGGCTGTCCTTTTCTTCAAATTCCCATTTTGATAGCTAAATTTACAGTCTCTGTTTTTTAACTACACTGCATTAGCTAGAATGACAGGCCTATGTGCTCTTTCTCTTCTTTGGTCTGTTTGGTGCTCATCCATGCTCTGTAGGCAGTTCTGGAGATCATTACTATTTGGCTTGTCAGTTGAAGGTATGCACACCCAACTATAGGAGAATCAACTGGACAGAATCCTGTTTTTTCCTCAGATCAAGATTTTTTTTGCTTTGCATACCTGACACTGCAC